GTCTCTTAATCCAGGAGGGATCTAATCAAGGTCATATTTTGGCTCTCATGGACTTGTTTTAATTGCCTGCAACTTCAAGGTTAACTTGTGTATGAGTAGTTGATGGTCTGTTCCACAATCAGCTCCTGGGCTCGTTTTGGCTGAAGTTATTGAGTTTTTCCATTGCCTCTTGCCACAGATGTAGTCAATTTGATTCCTGTGTATTCCATCTGGTGAAGTCCACATGTATAGTGGTCATTTGTGTTGTTGAATAAAGGTATTTATTCAACGATGAATAAGTTGTTGGGTCTTGCAAAATTCTATCATGTGATCTCCAGCATTATTTCTGTCACTGAGGTCAAATTTTCCAACTACTGGTGATTCTTCTTTGTTTTCAACTTTTGCATTCTAGTCACTAGTGATAATTAACACACCTTGATTGCAAGTTTCATCAATTTCAGACTGCAGAAGTTGAAAATCTTCAATTTCCTCATCTTTGGCTTTTGTGGTTGGTGCGTAAATTTGAATAATAGTAATATTAACTGGTCTTCCTGGTAGATGTATGGATATTATTCTTTTACTGACAGCCTTGTACTTTAGGACAGATCTTGAAACATCCTTTGTGATGATGAAGGCCATGCCATTCCTCTTCAAACATAGGAGATCATATAGTTGTCTGATTAAAAATGGCCAAAACCGGTCCATTTCAGCTCACTAATGCCTAGGATATCAATCTTTATGCATTCCATTCCATTTTTGAGAACTTCCAATTTTCCTATATTCATACTTCATACATTCCATGTTCCAATTATTAATGGATATTAGCAGCTATTTCTCTTGCTATGTCAGCAAATGGAGGTCCTGAAAGCTTTACTTTATCCATATCATTTAGGTTGGTTCTACTCTGATGAGGCAGTTCTGTCCCAGTCGTATTTTGAGTGCCTTCCGACCTAAAGGGCTCATCTTTCTGCACTGTATCAGATAATGTATCCAGGCTATTTATAAAGTTGCCCAGTAATGTATCAGTGTTTCTCTGCTATTCATAAGGTTTTCTCTGGCCAATTCTTTGAGAAGTGGATGGCTTCTTCCTTCTTCCTAGACTGTCTCAGTCTGTAATCTTCATTGAAACCTGGTACCATGTGCAACCTTCTTGGTGCTTGAAACACTGGTGGCACAGCCTCTAGCCTCACAGCAATGTGCAAGCCACCAAAGTACAACAAACTGAAAGACAAATTTGTCTCCCTTAGCTGTTTGAAACCCCTCTGCCCTCCCCTTACCTGGAACCTGCCACTTTGTCATCCCCAGCTTTCCTTCCTTTCTGCCTTTGGTGGGGTCTATATCCCTCCCCTTACTTGGATCCTGCCCATTTTGTCATTCTCGGCTTTTTCCCTCCTTCCTGCCACTTGGGTGGGGCAAATAATTATTATTGTACAAATAATTTTCTATTGATTTTGGGCACCTTTTCCCTATCTATAAAATAAAGTAGGTGGACTATTAAGCCTTCTTATCACTACCAGGTGACAAACATTCATGAAAGCTTTGGTTTTGGAAGATATTCAGTGTTGTGTTTTTCATTAATACTCTTGTTTAATATTTGCAAAATGCTATATATTTCCTGGGAGCTCTGGTAGCATAGTGGCTAAGACACTTGCCTGCTAACCAGACGGCTGACGGTTCAAACCCACCAGCCACTCCTCGGAAGGAAGGTTGGGCAATCCTGCTTCTGGAGTGGTACTGCCTCGGAAACCCAAGGAGGGGTCGCTATGAGTCGGGTTTGACTCAACGGCACATAACAACAACAACAACATATATTTCCTGGGCTGTGATTGTCACCACTTACTGTAACACTGTTTTCCATCAGCTCCCAGCTCAAAGCCAGGTTGGCAGGCACAAGTGAATGATCCCATGGTGTTCACACAGAGGTGACCACAGTGAGCAAAACCTTCAGCACACTCATTTATATCTGCAGAAAGAAATATAGATTAGCTATTGCTAAAACGGCAAGGAGGCCACATGTTCTGACCTCCTCTAACCCTACAAGGGGAAGGCAGGATTACCAGCAGTAACCCAAGGCCTATTACTGCAAG